GAACAGCCTCTGGAAGAGTTATGCTAGAAGGACACCGCTGGCAGGCTGCAACACAACAGCAGGTAGTGAAAAAATCCCCACATTTTCAGTGATAGACTCTCTTCATAGTACATGGTCTCCATGTAAAAGTTCTCCTGAATAGCTAACTCGTAGTAATTTTGACTTGCTTGTTCATTTATCTGCCTTTTCTATTTTCTATCTATCATTCCCTTCTACCACTTTTAATTGCATCTAGTTGTGAATCCAATTTTATCTCTTCCTTTTGTTTAAGAAGCTCAGAGCACTCCAGCTTAATCCACAGGACAACCAAGGCAGATAAATTAAAAATATAAGACAGCAAATGGGCCAAGAAAATCTGTGGCCGAAAAGGATTTAAACTTTGAATTTCCAGCTGAAGTCCAACATTTTTCACTCAGAAGATTATAGAATTCATGCCCTAAGAGAGAAGTATAATTCAATAGCTACAGGATGGAAGATAGGTTGAGTCCTAGATTGCATAATTCATTAACACAGTTTTGATTGATATTTCTTACTGCATATTTTATATACAATTATCAAACTGGCCAATGGAATGGTCGTTTGGAGTGATTGTTTTGGAGAGGGGAAGAAAAATGACCCAACAAAACAATTCATAGATCAAATCTGACCATACAATGAAATTAGCGAAGAAAGTCATAGAAGTCCTGCAATGATAAACATAAACATGCCTATTATTAATTCCAACACCATCTGGATTAGGTATATACATTAGTAAGATACATCCAGTCTCATTTTAAAAACTAAGAATATATTAACATTTTCATGTCACTACCCAGCAGTCAGCTTTTGGGGAAGGTTACCTATGATACAGGAGGTAGTAAACAGTAATATTAGAATCTTCTTTAAAAACCACTCAAATTAGATACCGTTACAGCTGCTAGCAGTGAATGCTATAGTTTAACCATGCACTGTGTAAGAAGAAACCCATTTAATTCTGTGACTCCTGAATTTTCCTGCATTTATTCACTAGGTGACCTCACATTCTAGCACTGACATCAAAACATTGAGAATGAATTGCTACAGACTTTCCTCAGAGGAGACAGTCCTCATCTTAATAAGTAATAATTCTTAATAAATTATTTACTCTTTTTTGCATCTTTTCATAATGTGTGGTGGTCAGAACCATATACAATATTCCAACTGTAGACTCATTTAAGATTTGTGCAAGAACATTATTATATTGGCAGTTTTACTTTCAATTTAATGATTCCAACATAAAATTTGTCTGTTTTTTTTTTTACAGCATCTGCATATAGGGTTGATATTTTCCTCAAGTTCTTCCTCATGACTCCAACATCTCTTTGTGGCCAGTAACTACCTCTTCAGACCTCTTCATGTTAAGGTATAGGTCAGTGGTGGCGAACCTATGGCACGCGTACCAGAGGCGGCACTCAGAGCACTGTCTGTGGGCACGCGTGCCATCACTCCAGCCCTGCCTCCCCTCCCAGGCCTCCTCTTCACCGGCAAGCCTCCCCGGAGAGTTCCCCTGGGTGCCACCTGTGCAGAGCAGCACTGCCAAGGACATGGTAGCGGGGACAAGGCTCCGGCCTCATACTCCGTCATGCGCAGATGATGCTGCAGGGTGCGGGTGAAGAGTGTGGCCACCATGGCGCTGCTGGGCCACCTGGACGATCTGCTGTGGCAGGCCGTGGAGGCGGTGGGTGGCCCTGCGGGCAGATGGGGCACAGGGGGGTAGGCAGGGTGGGGTGGTTTTTGGGCACTCGGTCTGTAAAAGGTTTGCCATCACTGGTATAGGTGAAACTTGGATCTTTTATGTCAGCATGCACCACTTTGGATTTGTTCATCCTGAAACACATTTGCTATTTTGAAACCATTCACACAATTAGAAGAAGCTTTTAGGAATTCTTCTCAATCCCCCAAGCTGCTGAGTTCATAATTTAATCCTCCTCGAGATATTTTAGACACAAGTTAAAAAAAAACAGGTCCAAACATGAATCTCACTTCGCACATCTTGCCAGTATGAGAATTATCTGTAATCTTATTTCCTTTTTTTCCCCGTAGCTAGTTGCCACTCTATGAGAACACCTATCCTCTTATGACACCTTATGACATCTTATGACTCAGGGGTTTTGGTGAGAGAATTTTTGTTCATCATTGGATTTCTGAAAATCCAAGTATGCGGTATCTATCATAAAAGTGGTATGCTTTCTGATACTCTCCAAAAAGGTTAGAATGTTCATATGAAAACGTCTTTGTAGACACCAAGACAGTTTTCTGCTATGTATTTGCCTATTTTTCTCTAGCGTTTTCAACCATTTCCTACAAATGAGATATTAACCTGGAGAGCCAATCTGTGTATTAGTTAAAAAGCAACAGCCTAGAAATTGGGAAACCATGAGTTCTAGTCCCACCTTACATACAAAGTCAGCTGGGTGACCATGAGCACTCATAGCCTTTCAGCCCTAGAGGCAAGAACAATGCAAAACTCTGAAAAAATCTTGCCAAGAAAATTACAAGTACTTCTTCAGACAATCACCAGGCGTCAACACTCACTTGAAGGCATACACATAGAGATTTTAATCTAACTGGCTCATAGTTTCCTTTATTGCTCCTCAACTCTTCTTTTTAAAACAAGAATAAATTTCTAGGCCTGATTTTCCTAATACAAAAATAGAAAAGCCATGAATATCTGTCCTATATTCTCAATAGTAAAAACAGAAACAATTTGTTCAGTTTTTACCTTCATTCAGTCCATCATCTTTAACATGTCCATAGTCCAACCTCTCAGCTGTTTCCTATTTTGAATACAGTTCTTTTTAAAAAAAATAATGTATGGTTTAATACCGTTTGCCATATGTTCTTCTGCGTTTTGGAATTGTATCAACTGCTCCTATGGCTTTTGGCAAAGTTTATGCTTTTTCTTATTCCAATTTGAGCAAGACTTCAAATTTTTGAATGGAGTTCATGTTCTTTTAATAGCATTGCTAATCACATTATAGTGCTTACTTGGACTTTATATTATAGTTTTTTTTCTGAACATAGGTAGGTAGATAGATATACATGTATATATGTATAATCTATCTATGTATGTCTATGTATATCCATAATATATATGTAGATATTCCAACTATGTGTTTATTTTTCTAATTTTGAATAATTTCTAAGCATTGTGGAAAAAACAGATTCTCTTGGCTGTCCCTTTCAACTTTATCTCTATCAATCTTATTTTTTTTATTATTACATTGTAAGCACCCAGAGGCACTGTATTAGTGACATGGGTAGCATAGACATTTAAGAAAATAAATAAATAAATATATACATACAATTTTTGGGAGTTGCTGTATAAATGAAAAGTATTGGGTAGTGGGGGGCAATCATCTATTTTTCATGTGTCAAATGGCAAGTAACTTCACGTTTTACATTGTTTTGTATGTATTGACTTTTCCAACTACATTCCAAGACCCATTATTGCTGCTGATTTCTGTACTCTTATGACAAAATGTAAAAATGTAACCTCCATATCTCCATTTTCTTGTAGATATAAATGGATCTTCATTGAATAACACAATCCAAGTGCATTTCATATTACAACAATACATGTTGTTCTAATGTTCTCTCATCTTCCTGCAATTGAGGCTCTGCAATTGCAACCCCAGCAATGTTCTGAAATTCAGAGTATCATGTCCTTATTAGGCTCATCAACAAAGAGAGCGTGTTAGTTTTATATCTAAAAATTATGGCAATCTCTGTAGCCAACGTTTGATAATAAATATGCAGAGAATATAAAAAATTAGGTGCACAGAATATAGAGTAAGCAACCCAGAATTCTGACTTAGGCCAATTGTTATTTATGATCCCAATTATTTATTTATTTTTAAAAAGTTATATGGCTGCCCGTGCTGTATACCACAACATTGGGAAACTCCCAGGATAGCAATAAAAATACCAAAACCTCATAAAAACCCTAACCAATATGCTTGTGGGAAGAGTGAGCTCTTCAAGGCCATCCAGAAGGCTAGAAATTGAGGGTCTGGCAGATCTCAGGGGAAAGCGTGGGCCACTATGGAAAAGGTGCACTTTCAATCAGATTACATTTAATGAAAGAGAACTGGAACACAGCAGTGGAATAGGCAAAGTAGTGGTTCCATGTAACCTGGCCCCGCGCCATTAAAAAATGATACCTCGAACTGCATCTGGAAAGTAATTGGAAGCCAGTGCAACTTATGCATCAAGTGGTATAATATGAGTAAACACCACTGCATGTATTGCTGCACTGTGGACCTGGTTGTAATTTCTGGATTGCCTCTAAGGCAGCCCCACATAGAATAAATTGTAATAATCCATCCAGAAAGTGACCACAGCATGAGTGACTTAGAACAAAGCCTCCTAGTTTAGGGATGGGTGCAATGGGCATACAACATGAATCT